TAAATTACAAAACGATTTAAAATTTAAACGTTTAGAAATAAAGTCTACAACCTTATTTTTGCTTTAGAATAAACACTGTGAAAAAAACGAAGAGGCATTTTATATAATCTTAACTATATAATGTTTCTATTTAATTTTAGTCGAATAACCATCATTAGGTGTTTTTACTTTTCATATTTAAATATAGAGGAAATGTTATTAAAATGGAATAATTTTTTTATAACATTCAGGCTGCTTATAATATTTAAAATATTATTTTTCTTTAACCTCAAATTTTTTCAGCTCTACTTTTAAGCCCAATCCCTCTCAACCCATTAGCCATTGGAAAAGAATCCCTTGAATCACCATTTAATTACACATTTGCATTTTCAGGTTTAAAAATACATTTATGAAGTATTACTATTGTAAATTTGTATCAGTCCTCACAAGCCGATGATGAAAACTGTAATACTAAGTAAACACGTCTAATATGTCTGAGGCAAACAAAATATAAAGGAAGTGTTGTAATAGTTTATATAAATTAAATGAAATTTTGATATATTTTTCGTTTCACACCTTCCTACTTTTTTTTGTAAACGAAATACAAAGGATGTATTGTAATGGTGGAAAAATCTAAATCGAGATCTTGACAAATTTTGACGTTTAATAACCTTTCGGAGACGGAAAATATAATTTTTATACAATCCTATGTGTGTGTGTCTCTCTCTCTCTCTATAAAAAGGATAAGTGCCATTTTATTTATGTCAACAAAATTTCATAAGCAAGCTTTTTTTTTCTCTCATCTTTTGAGCGATTTCCGGAAAACCGTTATTGATCATTATTGTACTTTCGGTATTCCAAAAGCCCATAATTTGATTACCATTTACGTTAAGTGGACCAAACTTTACATATATAATTATTCGATTGTATGTGCATGCCTCTATCAATATTTGAATGGTTTCGTATAACCGGAAGTGCCATTTAACCCTATTTATGTAAGGAACACGATAACTTAAGTACACTTTCAGTGTGGTTGGCGAAATTTTAGGGCTTACAAAATCAGTAAACAAATTAGTAAACACAATGACGTTTTAATTTAAGAGGTTTTGATATTTTTTTCCCTTAAATTAAATACAACCATCACCATTTTTATTGGTTTAAACATTACACAATCTTGTGTGCGTATCACGGCCGCAATTTTCTGATAGGCCTACAAATGCAAAAAGTGCCTAGGCCAATCAAAGATCATGAAACGACCCTGCACCCCACCCAATTAATTACTTCCTAAGATCAATTTCCCACCTGTACTTATCCTCGCCGAGTTGCAGTAGGACATCACCTCAAATCAATTACTCACCCATCAATTTTAGAGAGATGGGGGGGGGGGGGGGTAGTTCAAGAAATAGGTTACTTATAGATTATAGATTATAGGTATAGGTATTTGAATATGTTAGTTTATGTTTATGTTTATGGTTATGCTGATGCTCATGTTTATGTTTCTTGTATGTTTGTATTTATGTTTTTAAGTTGTAGTGAGGATTATGGTATATGTTTGTGTTTATGTTTGAGTTTGAGGCTATGTTTTTCTGAATGTGGTTTTTTAGGCGTAGAAGTGTGAGGAGTGGAAAGATTTATGCCTATATCTGTTTGTTGATGTTTGTGGTTGAGGTTGGTTGTGATAGAGTTAGGCTTAGAGTTAGGTTTAGGATCATATATGTTTTCTAAAATGTCGTTATTTGCATTTAGATATTAATTACTACCATAATCCTTGGCAGCGCCGGGTTTATGCTGCTTAAAAAGCATACAATTAGCGGTTCTTTAGAGATTTTTTTTTACTAAAGCCACTGCTGATTCGGACCGGGAAAGCTAATTCTAGTTTAAGAATTAGATTAAAAAAAAAAATTAATGAAAACATTTCATTTATCCGACTGCATCCCCGATACTGTTTGGGGAGATTACAGCCAAGTTATTATATTATGTTATTCTTTGTATGTAAGTAAAGTAAACTTTCCCTTTGAGACCTGATTTCTATAAGGCAAGTGAAGTAGAGTTTACTTGTTTCTGTGACCTCGGCATATGAAGAGATAGTGTGGTCAGCACTATGCCCAGCCGCCTTTACTTTCCCTAACGTGAGTTAGGTACCCAGCAGAGTTGGGTGGACTCAGGGACAGTCTGCTGACTTGAACCCGGATTCGAACTCGAGACCTACGGGTTAGTAGTCCAGCTCTTCACCGCTAAACCACTCCGTCCCATTTTTTTGTGTGTAACTATTTTCAATTTTTTAAATTGGTAGAATTTATTGTAAAAAAAAAAGAAAACAAAAAACATCACAATGTTATTTTCTAACGTTAGTAGTAGGTAAAAAATTATATTTCTCACCTTCAGACACGAAGGTAAAAGCGACTACCAAAATCAGAAACAAGCTTGCAGATAATTTCATCTTTTTCAACTGTTGTTCGTACTGTAATCTCGACCGACCTCCTTGAGTGTGATCTAATGTTCAACAGGTGTCGACCTTCAGTACTCTATCTTAAGGTAATCCTCACAACAGGACGTGCGTGTTAGGAAAGGCTAGTGCTATTTTTAGGACACGGATTACATGGATCGGGGATGTTTTGAATGTTATTAAAATTCTAAAGACATTCAATTTTTTAAAAATCTGTCAGTGTGTGTATGTGTGTGTGTGTGTGTGTGTGTGAGGCATTCAGTCAGTTAGTCTTTCTGACTGTCTGTCTGTCCGTCAGTGCTCTCTATTTTTCTTTCTCTCCGTTTGTTTTTCAATGTTAAACCTATCGACCTAGAACCTAATTTAAAATTTAATGTCAATTCTTAATCTCTTGGATATAATTGGTTTAAAAATGGATTTAGAAATCATTCACCTTGGTAATTTCAAACACAATTTGTAGTTGACAAACTAAAAGTTCGATTGTGCAGGGGCGCTAGGTACGGTTTAACTTGATTTCTCGTGCTTAACACTTCTTTGTGTATTGTTTATGGGTCGATATGAAGCTTTCATTTATATATATATATATATATATATATATATATATATATATATATATATATATATATATATATATATATATATATATATATATATATATATATATATATATATATATATATATATATATATATATATATACTTTTAGTATAACTAATTAAATGTGTTAAAGCCAACATATATCTTTGAGGTTTTTAAAAATCTTTTTATTAATCTAATAAAACATCACATATACAAGAATATTTGTGAAAACTTTGAGTATATTTAATTTGGTCTTGATTCTAGTGTAGCGTAATATAACTCTTACACGATCCATAATTTTATAGGGAAGGCGTGGTCGAATGGTAGAGAATACGACTGCTAGCCCGAAAGTCTCAAGCCCGAATCCGTGTTCATATCTATTAGTCCACCCATCCCACGTTTGACTCACTTAGGGAAAGTAAAGGCAGCTAAGTAGTGCTGACCACACTATCTCATATGCAGAGGTTACATAAAACAGGTGAACTCTTCTTTACTTACCCCATGGATCGTCAAGTTCTAATGAAGCCTAATCCCTAAAACAAATGTCATTTAAGTAAAAAAAAAACGTTTTTTTAAAAAACTCAGTCTATCACATTTACTTTTATTTTTACAAATGTACATACTAATCTATTTACATACAACTAAACATGTTAACAATGACAATTTTCTGCCTTTCATAAGTAATGACATTATGACTTCCTGAATAAAAGTTCCGGTTTCCATTTGTTGTCAGATAGTCGATTTTGTTAATGCTCATTTGCCTGCAGTGGTAAGTATAGTTCTTTACAATATTGCTGAAAATTTAAACAAATTACATTGTTTTCATTGTAACAAGTGAGTACTATAAATATAAACACTACAATGGTATCTTTATTTCAGAGTGTAGCGAAGGGTGGGTGGGTGGGGTGGCCGAAGAAAGGGGTGGGGCATCTCATTCTGAGCTATATTACTAAATTTTAATCAAAGTTAAGAATATACACTACTGCTTTGCTTTCCTGACTGATTTAACTATTTTCTATATAACTTTTGACATTTTAATAAAAGCTGTAAAGGGACAATGATAAGTAAAAGGCGTCCCCACCCTTTACCAGTAGACAAACAGACAGACAGACAGACATTCCCATATAATCTTTTTTTTCCAAAAACATAGCTTCGCCTACTCTGGTTCTAATTTGTGGAACAATCTTCCTAATAAAATAAAGCTATCTAGACAGACAGACAGACAGACAGACAGACAGACAGACAGACAGACAGACAGACAGACAGACAGACAGACAGACAGACAGACAGACAGACAGACAGACAGACAGACAGACAGACAGACAGACAGACAGACAGACAGACAGACAGACAGACAGACAGACAGACAGACAGACAGACAGACAGACAGACAGACAGACAGACAGACAGACAGACAGACAGACAGACAGACAGACAGACAGACAGACAGACAGACAGACAGACAGACAGACAGACAGACAGACAGACAGACAGACAGACAGACAGACAGACAGACAGACAGACAGACAGACAGACAGACAGAAAGACAGATAGACATGTGGTTATTAGGTGCAGGCAACTCAATGTTCGAGATAACAAGCTTCTAGACGGAGTTAAACACAAACGTTTTTGATCGGGAGTTCGTGTGTGACGAAGAGGTGGAGTATAGTTAGACATAGTGACAGAATGGTTTATGTGGCGTAGTGCAGCACATATAATCGGTTAAGTTCGTCTTCCAGTAAACTATATCAAATTAAAAAACAAAAAACGAGAATGACAATCGGTCAAAAATTATTGTCGGCACTCATTATAGCTACAAGAGTTTAATGAAAGGTATTGATGAATGAATGGATGATTGAATTGATGGACGCATGAAAGGATGGATCGATGGACGAATGGATGCATGGACGAATGGATGGATGGACTGTAAACAAAACAAAAGAAACTATGATGTATTATAATTAGTTTTAATTAGAATGTAAGAACAAAATAAATGAAGCCGCTTAATCACTGTTTTATCGGAACGGCAAAGCTTCAATTCATTCTAAAATTCAACGCTGACAATAGTTTGCTCTAAAATAAAAATAAAAACACAATAAATTATATATGTATATATAATATATATATATATATATATATATATATATATATATATATATATATATATATATATATATATATATATATATATATATATTATATATACATATATAATTTATTGTGTTTATATATATATATATATATATATATATATATATATATATATATATATATATATATATATATATATATATATATATATATATATATGTGTGTGTGTGTGTTTTGTGTATTTTGAGTAAAAAAATTGCAACAAAAAAGAAAATTTACATGCATCTTAGATTTGGTTTGCAGCATGTTCCGTATTTACCACCACAAGATTCTAGGGCTGGTTTGCAGCTGAAAGTAAAATAAACCGGGAGTAATCTCCCCTAAACTTTCTCGAATAATTTTATATAAAAAGCAGGGAATGGGAACTCGGGATATAGACATGAATTTTAATCCATTTTAAATACTTAAACTTTTTAAAGTAGAATAAAATCTCGAAGAAAAAATAATTGCACACCAGTGAACGCCAAATAACTTGTGCATAATAATACTTCATAAATTTACATGCGATTTTTGAGAAATTGGAAATAGCGTAAATTACTACTTCCGTTCAAGTTATAGGCTTTTGAAAATTTCAAAGTAAAAAAAGAACCACTTCCGGTTATCGGAAATCGCTCAAAAGTTGGTACTGATGTACGATAATAATAAAATACTTATATTTGAAATTTAATCAACCTAGCTGTTACGGTACTCAAGTTATCTTGTTTACAGACACACAGACACACACATACACAGACATACGGACAAGATTCCAAACTTATGTTTTTCCGTATCAGTGAGGTGTAAAATGTCGAGATTTCCAAAAATCTCGATTTTATTTTTTGCACGATTACAAGACTTTCTCTATAGGCCTACTTCGTATATACGAGAAAGTAAATAAACCGGGAGTGATTTCCCCTAAACTTTCTCGAATATTCTAATATAACACTACGTGGGATGGCAACTCGGAATATAGACATGATTTTTATTTACTTAAACTTTTAAAAGTAGAAAAAAATCTAGGAGAAAAAAGAATTGCGCACCAAGAGAACGCCAAAACAAAATGTGCATAATAGTGCGCAATATTATTAGTACTTTATAAATTTACATGCGCTTTTTGAGAAATCCGAAATAGCGTAAATTAGTACTTCCGGTCAACGGAAATTACTCAAACTTTTACAGAAGGTAGAGGATTAGATCTTTTACTTACATGTGAAATTTTATTTATCTATTTGAAATAGTACTCAAGTTATAGGCTTTTGAAAAATTCAAAATAGAAAAAGTATCGGAAATTGCTCAAAAGTTGATACAGATCTACGATTTTAATAAAATACTTATATATGAAATTTCATCAACCCAGCTGTATCGGTACTCAATTTATCGTGTTTACAGACAGACAGACAGACAGACACACACACAGACATACGGACAAGACTGCAAAATTATGTTTTTCCGTATTAATGAGGTGTAAAACGTCGAGATTTGTAAAAATCTCGATCTTTTTTGCACGATTACAAGACTTTCTCTATACCGCGTATATACGAGTAAGTAACAAAAAATGATTGAATCTGTTAGCCACTAACTAGGGACATTTGACATTTGATTGAATATGTTAGCCACTGGTAATTCAAATCAGATAGACATTTATGCTCCTGCTAGTATGGCAGATTGTAGAACGGTGTGGTCTGGCCACCCAGCTCTGATAATTACCTTGGAAAAGTAAAGGCGGCTGCGCATAGTGCTAACCACACCATCTCTTCATATGCCGAGATCACAGAAACAAGTGAACTTTACTTCACTGCCCCAAATACCGTCAGGTTTGGAAGAGGAATTTTACTTTACTTCTAGTAAGGGACTATCTAATTTTACTTTCTTTAAGCAAACATTAGCGGCCGCTTAATAAGTTGTTAATTTTATAAAGTTTAGTAACGTATACTTTTTAAAAAGTCGTAATTTAATTTTTCATTATTTGGGCTTAGAAGTGTCAATTAATAAACCGGGAGCGATCTCCCCTAAACTTTCTCGAATATTCTTATATAAAACAACACCAACAGGGGATGGCAACTGGGGATATAGACATGATTTTTAATCAATTTTTAATGACTTAAACTTTTAAAAATAGAATAGAATCTCGTAGAAAAAAGAATAGCGCACCAAGTAAACGCAAAACAAAATGTGTATAATAGTGCGGAATATTATTAGTACTTAATAAAATCACATAAGGTTTTTGAGACATCGGAAATAGTAAAAATTACTACTTCCGATCAACGGAAATTACTTAAAATTTGACAGATGGCATAGAATTAGATCTTTCACTTATGTGTGAAATTTAATTTATCTTTCTGAAATATTACTCCAGTTATAGGCTTTTGAAAAATTGAAAGTAGAAAAAGTTCCACGTCCGGTTATCGGAAATCACTTAAAAGTTGATAATGATCTACGATTATTATATAATACTTATAAATGACATTTTTATCAACCTAGCTGTATCGGTACTTAAGTTATCGTGTTTACAGACACACACAGACACACACAGACACACACACACACACACACACACACACACACACACAGAGAAATACGGACAGAATTGCAAAGTCAATTTTTTTCCGACTGGATTAGGCATAAAACGCCAAAATTTTGTTACATTTCGACTTATAAGATTTGCCCGATTAAAATAAGTCCTCTATACTCCGGATGTGATGAAGGACTGAGGTGTAAAGCGGTGAAAACTGTCAACATTTCATGTGATTTTTTTGCACGATTACAATACTCTCTATATACGCTGTATACACGGCATCTAGTTGTAAACAAACAGAACATTTTTACTATTAAAATCAATCTTTGAAACACAAATTTAAAAGTGAAGTTTATTAATTAAAGAAGAATACACTTACGTGCCCTGAATGCCCCAGGGTCGATGGCCGCCGAGGATAAAAAAAAATTTGACATCATTGTATTGAGGGTCGGGTAGGAATCAGTGTTGGATACATATAAAGCTATATGAAAACACGAACAATTGTTAGCACTTTCAATTTATTTTAACCGCTATAAACAGCCACACTAAAAACTGCTGTATCATACAAAAAAGAGTCTGCATGGTCATGGTTCCAAAACCGAAAAGTCTCGAGTTCGAACCGTCGTGAAGATGAGGCTTGTTAGCTGGGGTCAGCCACTCTTCTAGGAGAGACAACGTTACAGGTCTATTTATTTGGCAGGGCGTTGTCATTGGTTACTTTTTACAAGCTTTTATTTAACTCGCTTCCTCTGTCTGTCGTCAGCCGTTAGTCTGTCTAGATCGAAACGCCCGAGAGAAATTACTGGCAATTCTTACTGATAGATACGGTTCGTAGTTGGCACGTGGGTAAAGACATAAAGACAATGCAACATGACATAAAATTTGACTAAATAGATGCCTAATTAATTTTTTTATGAATAAATAAAAATTTTGACCAAATTTGTAGGCAGTTTTATCCAACTGCTCCACACGCGTCATCACGTTCAATAGATGAGCAATGGTTTTTAGTCATGTAACTCTATTGTAAATAAAAACATCTAAAGTCCTAAAAAAGAATAATAAAAAAACGTTTTATTTTAAAGAAAAGCGTGGGTCTCTTCCTAAATATTAGTAAAGGTATCCAATAGATACTAAAGTGACCCACGATTTTCTTTATAGTTATTTAAATAGTAGTGTATAATTTATTTTCTCCTTTTTAGTGCATTATTTCATAAAATCTTGTTATTAAAACGTTTTTTTATGAAAAAAAATTTCTTCCATTTCTGAGATCTTTTACTTTTATGAAATTTCACATCATAAAATATTTTAAATAAACAAATCTTCCCGCTTTATTTTAAGTTTTGCTAAAACAAATGATTTAAGAACAATAACATAACAATACTCAGTGAAATGTAGTAGTAAGCCAACGAGCTAGTACATAGTGAGATATAGATAATAGACATATAAGCAGTGAGGTAAGTGACTAATGAATTATTACAACAGTGGCGTAGCTAAGGGAGTGTTGGGCAGGCGCCCCGGGCGACGATCTAAAGGGTGCGCCAAAGGAGTGTAAAAAATAATTTAAAAGTTATTTTAAGCTGAAGTATTGAAACATACACATCTAAAGTTAAGAAAATAAACGACTACAAGGCTTTACAAACATTTCAAACTGGAGGGGGGGGGGGGGGAGGGGGGCGCTTTTTCACAGACAGGAGTAACTATATATAAAAATGGGAGAGAGGGGGCGCAAAGTTGATGGTCAACCCCGGGCGCCGGAGTAGGTCGCTAAGCCTCTGGCTAATTATTTTATATGTAATGAGATTAGGGGTTGCTAAAAAAAATTATTGATTTAACAGTAGTGAGGGAAAGGGTTGTCAAACATTCTATTGCCTTGAATGTCGTGAGTTTAAGTAGCTCACATGTGAATTCATCAAACAAAAATTACAAAGCGATTTAAAATTTGAACGTTTAGAAATAACGTCTACAAACTTATTTTCTTTTTAGAATAAACGGTGTGAAAAAAACGAAGAGGCATTTTATATAATCTGAACAATACAATGTTTCTATTTAATTTTAGTCGAATAAACATCAGTTAGTGTTTTGTTTTACTTTTCATATACAAATATAGAGGAAATGTTATTAACATGGAATAATTGTGTATTTGATATGTTTCATTGTGCTCATCATAACATTCCGCTTGCTTATAATATTTATAATATTATTTTTATTTAATCTCAAATTTACTTCAGCACTACTCCAAAGCCCAAACCCCTCAACCCATTAGCCATTGGAAAAGAATCCCTTGAATCACCATTTAATTACACATTTGCATTTTCAGGTTAAAAAAAAAATTGTGAGGTATTACTATTGTAAATTTGTACCAGTCTTCACAAGCCGATAATGATAACTGTAATACTAAAGTAAACACGTCTTATATGTCTGAGGCATACAAAATATAAAGGAAGTGTTGTAATAGTTTATATAAAATAAATGAAATTTTGAAATATTTTTTGTTTCACACCTTCTAACTTTTTTGTGTACATGGAATACAAATGATGTATAATAATTGTGCAAAAATCTAAATCGAGATCTTGACAAATTTTGAAGTTTAATAACATTTCGGAGACGGACAATCTAATTTTAATACAAACATGTGTGTGTGTGTGTGTTTGTCTATAGAAAGGATAAGTGCCGTTTTATTTATGTCAACGAAATTTCATAAACAAGCATTATATCAACTTTTTTGTTTTCTCTCATCTTTTGAGCGATTTTCGGTAAACCGCTACTGATCATTACTCTACTTTCGGTTTTCAAAAAGCCCATAATTTGATTACCATTTACGTTAAGTGGACCAAACTTAACATATATTATTATTCGATTGTATGTGCATGTATCTATCAATGTTTGAATGGTTTCGTATAACCGCAAGTGGCATTTTACCCTATTTATGTGAGGAACACGATAACTTAAGTACACTTTCAGTGTGGTTGGCGAAATTATAGGGCTTACAAAATCAGTAAACAAATTAGTAAACACAATGACGTTTTCAATTTAAAAAGTATTGAGATTTTTCCCCCTTAAATTAAATACACCATCACCATTTTTATTGGTTTAAACATTACACAATCTGATTTACGTATCACGGCCGCAATTTTCTGATAGGCCTACGAATGCAAAAAGTGCCTAGGCCGTACAAAGATCATGAAACGACCCTGCACCCCACCCCATTAATTATGTCCCAAGATTAATTTCCCACATGTACTTATCCCCACCGAGTTGCAGTAGGACATCTCCTCCAATCAATTACTCACCCATCAATAGAGGATCGGGGGGGGGGGGGGTAGTTCAAGAAATAGGTTACGTATAGATTATAGGTATAGGTATTTGAATATGTTAGTTTATGTTTATTCTTATGCTTATACTCAGGTTTATGTTTCTTGTATGTTTGTATTTATGTTTTGAGTCTGTAGTGAGGATTATGGTATATGTTAATGTGTTTATGTTTGAGGTTATGTTTTTCTGTATGTGGTTTTTTAAGCGTAGAAGTGTGAGGAGTGGAAAAGACTTATGTCTATGTCTGTTTGTTTATGTTTGTGGTTG